TCTCTCTCTCTCTCTCTCTCTTTCTCTCACTCTCTCTCTCACTCAAGTTCTGAGAGCCACCAGCCGTCTTGTACCATTTTAGATTTTTGTTTTATTGCATGTTTTAGTTTTAGCAAGAGTTTTACGGCATTTGCAACACAATACGGTCATATAAGAGCAGAAGATTAGATGAGTTACAAGAAAGTAACATACACCAAAAAAAAAGAAGGAAAAGAGATAAGGACGTTAGATATTTGATAGGAAAGAAAGAGCAAACCACACCAGAGCACCCTCCAACCACCCTTTTTTATTATATATCGTAAGGACATGCAAGGTTTTTTTTAGGTTTTACATATCGCACCCAAAAATGTGTCCGTTTTCTCTTTAAAATGTTGAAACAGAAAGGTTGACATGTGCGGATTTTGACTGAATACACTCTGGTTTTGTTTTTTGTTTTTTTGTTTTTTTCAAATATTATTAATTTAAGGTTGACAAGTGTGGGTTTGCCTGCCAATCCATGGTGAACTCGCCACATATTTTTCACATATGACGAGACAACTGACGAGATCACTGGAGGTGTGTGACCACTTCATTGTGTGTCCGTCCTCCGTAGCGAGTCCATTCCAGGGTTGCTCTCCGTGGCATGACCTTTTTTCTGTTTTACACTCTCCTGTGCGCGTTTACTTGAGATGCATTTTTGGTTTTTATTGGTTCACTATTCATAATGATAACTGTAATCTCCTTCCCCTAATAGACTACTTGAACGAGCGTTGTTTTGTCAACTTTCATGTAGAAGTTTTGACGTATAACTATATTTATTTGCAATGTTAACTAATATAAAGCCTGATCCGCAGAATTAATCATGGTAATGACAACCCCCCCCCTTTCCAACTCTTTCTCCCTTCCTCTCTTTTGGCGAAATAATACATGAATGAACTTCGCCTTACCAACTGTTTAGGGTTGGGGGGTTTTTCTAATGCAGCTATTTTGCGCCCCCATCGACACAGTTTAGATCATTTAGGATGCCGGCTTTGGCCCTGCCAGTCAGGGCCAATCCCCGGCTGAGAGGAATACAATTTTCTAGCAGAAAGACCGAGATGCTCGATAAAATTTCCCCCATATGGGAATCAAACTCATGTTTTCTATGTGCGACGGCGAAGCACTTAATTGCTATACCACAGAGGCCAGTTTGCCAACTTGTTAT